GGCATTCTTCTAGCAGTTGCCCCTTGCAGGGTTCGGGGTATATATATGTTTGTGGTTTTCACGTCTGTAAATTTGCACATGTATTTTTCTTTTAAAGTAGATTAGAAGTATGAAGATAAAGCATCACATCAAGATGTGGAGTAATTACTCTGGGTGAAAATTAGAGTGGAACAGACACAGTTCAGCCAGCAGTCAGGAAATCTGCATTTTAGTCCAGAGATTGCCCAAACCCAACTGAGGACTTTGTCTAATCCTTTAGTTTTCTGGACCCCTAGTTGCCTTATCTGTAGGACATAGTTGCATTAAATGATTTCTACAGTCCCTTTTAGTTCTAAATTTCCCTCAAGACCCCAGAACTGAATGAATAAGATTCTACTAGATAAAGGCAGGGTGTCTGGCAAACCTTCCAGTGGTGAAGAGGATGATCTAAGTAGTGAGCTTAAATTCTGTTTATAATTTTGTTGTTATTGGTAATTGAATGGAAGTAGATAAAAGTGATTGAACTTCCTGGCAATTATAAAATTACCTGAAACCCACTATCATTAGCTGACTTTTTCAGCTTCGTTCCTAAGCTCGCTCACTATTGCAGGCCTAACACCCAACCCACTGTGTGATCAGCGTGTTGTGTTTTGAGAATACTTCCATAAGACTGATAGGCTTTTTGACTTAACCTGTTGTTCATTTTATTAGGGCAGATTAACCGTGTCTCGTAATAGCTTTAAAATTCAAGATGTGTAGGAACAAATGAGATCTAGACAGAAAGAAATTTTAGAGGTGAAATTTGACAGTAGATACTGTGCTGGTGTCCTTTATTCTTCAACCCCATTGGTGATGTTTCTGGGTTACAGATTCAGTAGATAGGGTTCCGACTGTTTATATTTAATTTCAAGATGGAGGAAGAAGCTGTAATTTGTGTTTAATGAAATAAACTATAGAAATGAAAGCAGAAAATAAAATAATGCAATGAATATTTTGAATATTCAAATTAATCTTTGATTTCTATAACATATGTAATTGTATTCTGGGTCATGGATTACTCTGAAAGACAGATGACAGCTATGGGTTCTTTTTCCAGAAAAATAACTGCAAACTCGCAGTTTTGCGTGTTATTTGAAGGGTTTCATGGGCTCCATTAAGTCGATGCAGCCTTGCCTTCTGCCTCCTTTAGTGGCCCCTAGTCCAGATTCTTGATAGAAAAGAACCCTGGAATGTTAAACCTTAAAGTCCCTGGAAGTAGTCTAGGCCAGTGTTATTTAAACCGTGGTCATGAAATCAATTGGATGTATCAAAGCCAACATAGAAAAGAGTAAGACAAAGTATCAGAGTGTGTCATAACATGCTAAGCGCAAGTTTTGTTTTGTGACCTGTCTCTCCATTTGTTTGTGTGTGTTAGTACTGAGTCTGAATACATAATGCATTTCTTACCGTGGATTCATGGATTGAGGGTAAAGTTCGAGGAACACTCATCAATTCTAGATGAACATCTTCATTTTGTAGGAGCTTTAAAGGCTAAATGATTTGTTCAGACACCCGCCCCCGCAACACACGCTCTTTAGTTTGTAGTGGCTGAGCCAGGACTGAACCAAATTACTTGATTGCTAATTGTGCTCTACCACACTGCTAATTTTTTGAAATAGAATTGTGAAGTAGATTATTTAAAAATATTAAGTGATTCATCTGTTTCACATTTGGCATTTTTTAATCCTTTGTTTTTCCTACTAATTTTCTCTCTCATTGCCCTTTAAAATAATCTGGGCTTGAGCTTCTTTTCCAGAGAATTGAAATTATTAGGGGGGGGTGCTTATCATTTGGCTGTCTACACAGCTAAATCATAGAATTTTGAGCTAGGGGCTAATCAGAATTTCAGAACAAGGCATGAAGGTTGTTAAGTTTTATGCCCAAACCAAATTAAATTATTTTGAATTATTTGTCTATTCGCTTGATAATTGAATATAAAACATGCCTCTAGATGTTGATACTGGCTTATTAGGAAGACCTGGTAACATTCCCTTAGTCATCTGTGTGAGGTTTTCTCAAATTTGACCGTCGTACAGATTGCTTTGAAGGTTTTGTTAAAATGCAGATTCTGATCCAGCATCTGGCTGAGACCCCGGGGTTGCTAACAGGCTCCCAGGAGAGGCTGCTGTGCTGCTTGGACGACACTTGCAGTAGCAGGGACCTTGTATTAACTGCCTTATTATCATGACAAGACACGGTAGCCATAGTACGGTTTTCATAGTCTTGATTTTATTAACGTTTTCCTGCCTTCCCACGTTGGCTACAAAAATTAAAATGGCATTCTTATTTCTTAACAAACTGGATTACTTTTTGTAGTTAAGAACGTATCTTTAAAACAGCTGCGCTCATGAGTCCCCACACCTGTGAATGAGAACGAGGCCCCTCTCTGCAGCGTTGCTCTATGTGATTTCTGCTTAGCACCACGTTGTTTAGCCAGTATTTCCAAATCTTTCCACAAAACTTAATTTTCTAAATAACTGAAACATTTACTTTCATAAAGAACTTTTTAAAAATATTATGTCATTTTCTTAAACGATTACATGCACTTTTCCCCTCATTTTAGTGGTATAAGAGCAGTGTTTTGGTGAAGGGTGTTGAACTATATGCAAAATGAGTAAAACCCACAAAACCTTCTAAGTTCTTGTCTGCTTATTATGTTTTTTCTGTTTTGTCTGTCCAGCTGCTGGTATGTCTGTCTCAAAACCCTTCATTTCCCTTCCATTCTAGTTGATTACTTCTGACCTGAAAAGCCAGATGCTAGGTTTGCTAGAAATATGCAGGGGGTTAATCCCAGTCAAAAGATCCCCTGTCCTGGGGCCTTTCCTAAGAGCATGGTAGTCAAGAAGTTCAGCTGCACTTGAGCACTAGGGAAATCCTTTGGTCTTAACCATATTCTGAATAGTTGGCTCTAAAAGGGACTCACTTGTTCTTCATGCCTTTCTCCATGTGCTTCTCTCTCTCTCTCTCTCTCTCTCTCTCTCTCTCTCTCTCTCTCTCACACACACACACACACACACACACTTTGTGGTAGAATGTGTTTGAAATGTGTCTGTGTGTATTAGCCCTGTGCCTGGGAATATGTAAGTGCACGTCAGGGTCTGTATGAGATGGGGATGAACGTTCTGTGCTTAAGACCATGGTTCTCTTTGCACTCAGTCTGTCTTGCAGTGGCTTCAGAGACAGTTTTAAGAATAATAACGGTGACAACAAAGAGGATATTCCTTGGTTCAGTTTGGTGATTCAGGGTCCCAGGGATTTAAAGTCTGACTTCAGTTGTGTTGTCTTTAGTAGGTGGTTGGTTGTAAAAACAGTCAAAGCTCCCATTTGTTGGATCCTCTCTCAGGAACGCATCATTCAGATGGATGTTGTGCAGGGAGCAGGGCTGTGGTCATGGAGGTGTGTCGGACGGGGGCACATGGCTGCTGCCCTTCAAACCAGCGAGAGTCCCCCAGTACTCGCGGTGTGGCTACATCCCCTCACTGGTCCCTCCAGAGATGAGTACGCATGTGTGGCACCTACAACAGGTGTTCCAGTTTCTTCTTACTCAACAAAGCTACAAATCGTTGGAGGACTCACATCTATGAAAAACACATGGTAGTTAGTATTGTTCAGATTCAAAGCAGAGAGAACCTGTGCGTCTTAGTGAGGCAGCATCAGAAAATGTGTTATTTTAGACAGCCTTACTGGTTTTTATGTTAGAATTTGTGGATTATATTGTTCAAGATTGTGACAAGACTGAATGTAACCATAACATTTGGGTTGGATTTTGAAGCCTTGAACCAGGGCCCCCATCTGACATATTTTCAGTGAATTATAACCTTTAAACACTGATTAACAGACTTGTCTCATTTGAATCTTATTTTTACATCCAGAATGTGTCTTACATTTCAGTGCAGCTAAGCCTACTGATATCATTTTAGTCTAATTAACAGTATTTTGCAATCTGGGACGCCTGTCAAAGATTATTACAGGAGCTAGAAAACACTGGGAGGTAGAATGAACACATGACCTCATCTCTTATTTTGCGCTCGACTATAACTTGCATTTAAAGAGACTAAAAAAGGAAAAAGAGAAATCGCATTCTTTCCCATTAAGCTGTAATAAATATGATTAATATGGTTTTGCTATTAATAATCCCTTTTAACTGGGAGAATGGAGGATTTTGTTTGAGGTACTAGAAACTAAATGCTGCCAGGATAAAGATTTGACTAGAAACAGAGTAGATACCAGTCTCTACCCTTTGTTAACTGATCCTGTTTGTTTAACTGAGGGAGTAAAAATGCACGTCTCCTGAAGAGAAATCTGTGGGCATAAACTCTTCCTGTTTTTAAATGTATTTCATAGCTTGTTTATCTTATTTAAATGTAGCCAAGAGAATGCAAGTGCTGTTCCTTTAATATCAGAACTATGCACGTTACAATAGGTGTCACTGTTTTGCTTGGTCCAATCATGACTGGTGACTTCAGCTATTGGCTCCGAGCTCTGGCTGTCTGACTCCATCTGCAGGGCTGTAATACCTACTCTCCTCCGATCCATTCACCACACAACTTCGGCCGGCTGAGCAGACTCACGGGCTCCCGCACATCTTGCTAACCTAGTTCAGAAGCAAGTGCCACGGCTCTCTGCCTGTCATCTTCGCTCACTGTAGCGTTTTCAGGTGGTCTAGGAAACTGGGTTATTTTTATGAGCAAATAAGAGAAACGGGAATCATGATGGGGATGTATTTAACAGACCCGGTGCTGGATAAAACTTAAAGCCAGTTTCTAATTTCAACATAGTAAAAGGGTCACCTTGCCCGGCTGAGGAAAGAAGCAGAGCGTCGGCTGGTCGGCTTCTGCCCACATCTTAGCGCGTGCTGGCCTCTTTCCCTTGAAGCTTGCGCCGGTTTGGGAGACCTAGCTATAAACAGAGACCTACTGTCCTCATGGTAGATGACAAGGAAAAGAACATGAAATGTCTCACCTTCTTCTTGATGCTTCCAGAGACGGTAAAGAACAGGTCCAAGAAGAGCTCAAAGAACACAAACCCCAGCAGTGGCAGCGGCAGCGGCGGCAGCAGCAGCAGCAGCAGCAGCAGCAGCAGCAGCAGCAGCAGCAGCAGCAAGTTGCCCCCGGTTTGCTATGAGATAATCACCTTGAAGACTAAAAAGAAGAAGAAGATGGCTGCTGACATATTCCCCCGTAAAAAACCAGCCACCTCCGGCAGCACCACGGTCCAGCAGTACCACCAGCAGAACCTCAGCAACAACAACCTTATTCCGGCCCCGAACTGGCAGGGTCTTTATCCCACCATCAGAGAGCGGTGAGTGCCGGGCCAGCGTGCTTGCTTTAAAAGTTCTCCTGTGTTGAAGTTTCTGCTTTTGCACAACCTGTGCTGTATTTTAACTTAAATCTGCGCTTCCTCTTTTCCCAGAAGCTTTATTGGTAATGGAAAACTGCCTTGTATCTTTCCCAAAACAGCACAGCTGTTTTCCTCTTAGATAAAAATGTTTTTGTAAGCTGCAGCATTTAAGTGACAGGGCTGTGTCTGTGGGTTGTAGAAGACAGAAACCTTTTATTTGTCCCTAGTCTAAAGAAAAGTTTGGGGAACTCTTTTTCCGTTTAGCTTGAGTCACTTCCCGTGTGTCTGCAGTGATCACAAGCACAGGTGTGTAGTGGGAACCTCTGTTTGTAGCTTGACCCTGAAGTTAGTAAACTGCTGCTTGGCTTGTGCATCTTCTGTGGGTTTTGTCTGTTGGGGAGGGGGTGTTAAAACGCTGGCTGCTGTGAATTAATGAATTGCCTCTGTTTATAGAAATGCGGTGATGTTCAATAATGATTTGATGGCAGATGTCCATTTTGTGGTTGGGCCACCAGGTGGGACTCAGCGGTTGCCAGGACACAAAGTAAGCAACAGCTGCATTACCGGTTTAGTCCTGAGGTTTACAAAGAGGGACCCTCTCCATGAGCCAGGAACTTGGGGTGGGCAGCTCGCTGATGGCCGGTGTGCGTGTTTCACCAGATCACAGAGAAAGCGCAGCCTCTCCAGAGGGCCTTGGCCACGCTTAATTTTTTTCTTTGTCTCCTTCTACCCAGCTTTATATCTTACACAGAAACATGCCCTCTTACCTCTTCAGTCATGGAAATTCGTTTTGATAGGTTTGATAGTCATATGTTTACCCTTCTCCTAGGAATCAGTTAGATAAGCTTTTATGTTATTTATTCTGTAACGAGGGAACCTGTGCATGAATCTGTTAAAGCCTTGATAATAAACAGCAGAGGGACTAGTGTGTGTGAACATCAGTCCTTTACTTTCACAGCCAGATCCACTGTACCTGGACATTGTCAGCAGAGCAGGTGTTAGGTGCCTGTCTCCACTAAAGCTGATGGCTTAGAGTTGTTTTTTTGGATTGATTTGCTGAAACTGTTTTCAATTTAGTGCATGAAATAAGATTTCCATTTCTCCACAGTATGTTTTAGCTGTTGGGAGCTCTGTGTTCCATGCAATGTTTTACGGAGAACTTGCTGAGGACAAAGATGAAATCCGTATACCAGATGTCGACCCTGCTGCTTTTCTCGCGATGCTGAAGTAAGCACCATGCGTATGTCTGGAAAGAGTTTGTTTATGCTGTATTGGTACTCTGCTGGTTTCACAGTTAAATCTAAGTTCCAGGTAACAGAAAAGGGAGACTGACGTAGAAAGAGGGTGCTGCTTACCCTGTAAATATTTCTCTGTGGATCTTTCCACGGGAAGCTTGTGGACTGAAACAGGCGTTTTTAATCACACCTTGGGGGGCAAATGGCACGTACAGTGATTTCATTTTGAATGACTTATAATTAAAGAAAAGTAACTTTCTGGTGTAGTCATTACCTAATAGAGCATGTTCTAAAAGCAGTGTGTGTGGAAAAGTCTTTAAAGAGACATAAATTACATTTTTGCTTCACAATTCCAGAAATTATATACCTTATTTAAATACTACCAGTTAGGAGATTTTTAAGTTTTCTAGGAGTTACTGTCTCCTGTCAGCAAACATAAAACTTATTATTTGTTGCAATTATCCAATCTTTATGCGCACATGCATACTACATACATGTATAAAATCACATACTGTTTTCTCAAGGATAAGAAGTATTTGCAGTTTGTAGTAGAGGAGAAATTTTTGAAAGATACGAGTAGTTTTCTATAGTTTTCTGTGGATGTGTTCAGGAAAACTTTAATTGGTGATATAGAAATGTAAAGTTACAAGATTTATATTTATTAAGAAAAATAGTTTTCTATGTCATGGGTCTTTTTCAGAATCCAGTGCATGTTAACCAGATAAATAGAATCTGCTTCTTTGACATGTGTAGTTTCCAGACAGCGTGACAGGCTACCGTGTAGTCAGAATCCAGTGACTATTCTAGACGAAATTTATGTGATCTTCGTTGATCCGTATTCTAGCACACCAACGTGTATCAGAGCTCAAGGTTATCTGCTGCCGTAGGGATTTTGATTCACTGGAATAAATACAGTGTTGAAAAAAATTATTCATTGGGTCCACAAGTTAAAATGTTGATAGATAATTATCTTCTGCCTACAGAAAAATACATATGATAGTTTAAGAACTGTAAAGTGCTTAATTCTTTATTTGTAGTGTAGTTTTTGAATCCATTTGCTGCCAGCTAGAACTTTTACAGTGGGAGGGAGGGAACTTAAAGGCAAGTGAGCATGTGAAGTACCAAGAGGTAAACTAATCCACCACTTTTATTTATTTGCTTTTCTAATGGAGGCACTGGGGGTTGAACCCAGGTCCTTGTGCGTGCTAAGCTCATGCTCTCCCACTGAGCTATACCTTCCCCTGACTAAGCCACCACTTTGAACCAACAGACCGTTTGTGACTTCTGTAGTCTTTTATAGATACAGGTGCAGAGGCGAATTCTATGTGCAGGAGTTTTGTGTGTGCTTTTCCGCACCAGTGAAGTCAGCCTCGTGTATCTGACACTGCTTGTGCTGCAGAGTAGAAATCCGGCACTGGCTGGGCGTTTTGGCTCCACTGTGGTCAAGTGGAGTGTTGAGTTGCTGCAGGTGCAGGTACAGTGAGGAAACCTGAGTGCGAGTAGCGCAGCTCCCTTTCACCCAAGCCCTTCGGTTCATCATTTGACAAGCATCTTTTCTTACAAATGTGCTGCCTAGAATGTATCTTGGTACAATTTTTTTAAAGTACAAACACAGTCCACGTAAAGTGGTAGGAATCAGAGGTGTAGCAGGTGCCATCTGCTGTCGCCTGGGATAGCAGAGGCCGGGTTTTCCTCCTCCCTGCATTGTGGGTGAGTAGCTGGCACTACTGCAGAGGGGCTTGTCCAGAACAAGGGAAGACTGGCCAGTCCCAGGGTAGGAGCCACAAAGTGCTGACCGTGCTGCAGATCCTCCCCCCGGTCCTGGTCCTCTGGTCGCAGCATCCCTGCTGCAGGTGTTCTGTCGGGCAACCTTGCCACCTTGCCAGGGGCAGCTGGCGCTATTCTGTCTAAGAAGAGTAAGGGCTTCCTGAGAGCAAAAATGCAGGTTCCATTTGCGATTGTGGTCATTTTTCTCATTGCCACCCTTGTATTTCTATACTGTCTTACAGAAGCCATTGCTGATTTCTCGTTACATGTGTTCCACCAAGAAAAACTTCACAGCAAGTAGCTAAACACCTTAGCTAGAAAAATTTTTAAATCATGTTATTAGGATGTATTTTTCACCCATGTGCAGATCTCACTGACCATCTCTTAGGGAACCATAGGGAAATAAAGGAAGCAGATGATTTATCGCTTTATAGACTGCCACTGTCCCCCAAAACAGTAAGAAGTGTCTTTTCTCCTGAAATAGGGTTACTTCACGGAAGTACACAAATAGTGTGTATTTTGGCTTACTTTGTCTTTTAATTAAATATATCTGGGAATAATGCATTCTTTAATTCTGAAGGTGGAAGGGAATGTGTGGGGGAGAAGAAAGAATTTAGAGTATAAAAAAAAGCCGGATACAAAGCCTACATTGGATTCAATGTAAAGTTAACTGAAGATAGCATCAGAGCGCATATTTAAAAATCCGTTGAACTTGAAACTATTAAAAAATACCTTATTTAAGATCAGGTTTCAGTTTGTGTTTAAGGAAAATCCAAGTCATTGCTAACATTCTTGTATTAAAGATATTTGTTTCTATCTGAATGTGTAGAAAAAAATTTAAGTAAAATTAAGTAAGAAAAGGAGACTTTTTCTCCTAAAATATGTGGGATTATTTTAATTAAATATAATACAGTATATTTAATAGGATTTTGCTACTTTTTCCTATTGACTATCTGCGATGACAGTCCTTTTTCAGACAGTTCTGGTATCTTTTTTTTTTCTTCAAAAGACACAATGTAGATTATAAAACAGAGGCTACATGGTTACATGAAGTTAATGTCTTTAATTATACAAACTTTCTGCTGAGTTGAAATATTAATAATACATGAATATATTTCACTTGTTGCCTTCATGTCTGATCATTTTGTAATGACTGTCACATCAGATGATTTTCTTGGCACTAACTGAAAGTAGCTGCATCTTTTCTTGCTGGACCCGCTCATTTTGTGAAAATTCCGTTTTCATGCTGTGCTCTTTCTTTCAGATATATCTATTGTGACGAAATTGACTTGGCTGCTGACACAGTGTTGGCCACTCTTTATGCTGCCAAAAAGTACATCGTCCCTCACCTCGCCAGGGCCTGCGTCAATTTCCTGGAGACCAGCCTGAGCGCCAAGAACGCCTGTGTCCTCCTCTCCCAGAGCTGCCTGTTCGAGGAGCCAGACCTGACCCAGCGTTGCTGGGAGGTGATCGACGCCCAGGCCGAGCTAGCCCTTAAGTCCGAGGGGTTCTGCGACATCGACTTCCAGACACTGGAAAGCATCCTCCGCAGGGAAACTCTGAACGCCAAAGAGATTGTGGTTTTTGAGGCAGCTCTCAACTGGGCCGAGGTGGAGTGCCAGCGGCAAGACCTAGCCTCGAGCATTGAAAATAAACGCAAGGTCCTCGGGAAGGCGCTTTACTTGATCCGCATCCCGACCATGGCCCTGGACGACTTTGCCAACGGCGCCGCGCAGTCCGGGGTGCTGACTCTCAACGAGACCAACGACATCTTCCTCTGGTACACCGCAGCCAAGAAGCCCGAGCTGCAGTTCGTCAGCAAAGCCCGCAAGGGCCTGGTCCCCCAGCGCTGTCACCGCTTCCAGTCGTGCGCCTACCGCAGCAACCAGTGGCGCTACCGGGGCCGCTGCGACAGCATCCAGTTCGCCGTGGACAAGAGGGTGTTCATCGCCGGCTTCGGGCTGTACGGCTCCAGCTGCGGCTCGGCCGAGTACAGCGCCAAGATCGAACTCAAGCGGCAGGGTGTCGTCCTGGGGCAGAACTTGAGCAAGTACTTCTCGGACGGCTCCAGCAACACCTTCCCCGTGTGGTTTGAGTACCCAGTGCAGATCGAGCCGGACACCTTCTACACGGCCAGCGTGATACTGGACGGCAACGAACTCAGCTACTTTGGTCAGGAGGGCATGACGGAGGTTCAGTGTGGCAAGGTCACCGTCCAGTTTCAGTGCTCCTCGGACAGCACCAACGGCACGGGGGTGCAGGGCGGGCAGATCCCCGAACTCATCTTCTACGCTTGAAGACACGTTCCGAAGTGGCCTGGGCTCTGTGGTCGCATTGGGCCCCCTGCCTGCTCGATGCTTAGCGCGGCTGCAGGTGTGTGATCAGCACAGGTGATTTATAATGAATGGAGCTGCAGGCAGTTTCTAGTTTCTTTCAGCCTTTTGATTATGTACAAGCAAAAACGCAGCATTCAGCTTTCAACTCTGTGCCTGAAAAAGCCAAGTTCTTATCAAGGCTTGTGGGCTCTAGAGTGGCATCCATACATATCTGGGGAGATTTTGTGTTTTTTTCCAATTTTTCCGACTGCCCCACTGACTTCCCAGTTTTGTTCCTCTTAAGAGAATTTTTGGATCACCTCAGTCCTTTTGGACTTTATTTTGACAAATAGAAGTAAATAGTCTAAAATAATAATAACAGGAATTATTTTTAAACAGAACCCCTCCCTCCCCCCAAAACAGATAAACCTCAGTGTACAATTTTGAAAAAGTTTTGCTTGATAAGTAATAATTTAGAAAGTAGACAGTAGTCATGTTTACCTTCCTATTTTATTTCCTTTTAAAAATTTTACTTTTAAGCATTGCTGTTTCTTAAATCTGAAATTCACAAAATTGTTAAATTTTAAACTCCGAAGTGTAAATGTAAAGTAAGCAAGTAAGAAATTGGAAGTTTTAGGCCATGACTTTTGCTACAAGCAGGTTTATGTTTTAGTCCAGAAAACAAAATATTGCAGTACAGAGACATCTTTTTAGTAGTAACTAAATTACAAAATTTTGTCATCATTAGAAAAAAGTTGAGGCCTATTAACTTAAACTAACACAGTTTAAAAAGGAAGCCTAAAAGAATCCCATACTACAAGTGCAGATCAGAACACACAGTTTGAAAAAGTCAAACTCTTTTCTCCCCACTTAGCTTATGATCCCTGCCATTTGCTGGTTTTCAAAAGTTGTACTGTATAGACTCCCTATTCCCTTTTTCCTATGAAAAGAGGACCAAACGATTCTTTAGATGAATGGAATAGCAATTAGTTTTGTAGCACCACATGTTAATATAGTAAGACACTTTTATTCATTGATTTTTTTTTAAATCTGAAATATACTTTACCTGATCTACTTTGACCACATTCTATCTTCTTAGTTAATTATAATTCTGTCCTGTTCCTCGACTGCTAGAATCTGGCCTCTGGCCATCTTAAAGTGCCAATATATGCCTGCAGGGTTTTACAAAAATGGTCTGGAGCTTTGATGATACGTAATATTCACTGCATCAGCATCACATCCAGCACTCTTATTTGTCCATAGTTATAATGTAAACAAAGGAGGGAAAAGATCATCAAAAATTCTCCAGTGAAGGCTTGTTCTGGTTTAGTGCCCGAGACCCTGGTAGTGTCCGCTGTGTTCACTCCCAGCTGAAGTATCCATGTGTTTCTGGGCAGCTTTTCTGCTCAGCGTGATCCTGAGATGGCTTCCCCGCCACCCAGAGTGTGGTCCCTGGCCACCTCCTTCTCCTGCTCTGTGAGCCCGAAGCTGGCTTGTGTGGAGCAGGTGTTAGTCCTGGGGTGGGTGTGTGCGTGGGGGCCCGCGCGCCTGCGCGTGCGTGCCGGCTCGGGAATTGTCTCTTCCCTGCCTGGCCAGTGAGGGGTGGGACAGAAACGGTCCCCCTGCTGGCCCCAGCGAGGCCCCAGTGAGTGACTGCCTGTGCTTCTGTAGACGTGGGCTTGTTGCGTTGGCCGGCTTCCCTGATGGAGGAGAACACTGGGTTACAGGAAATGTTTTAATCATCTTTGCCATCACCTGTGTCTGTTAGCACAGAGGGTCAAAAGCTGTGACTGGTGATGATGGACAAGTAAGTCCCGCCAGGACAACTTCCCAAGATTATCTAACAGTTATTTCGCATTAGCAAGATGACAGGTAGTAGTTTTGGCAAGCCGTCTATGAAACAAGGAAACATTTTCAATTTAAAAAATACGAAGGGTTTTTATTTATAAATTACGGTTAAACATTTCAGTAACTCATAGCTACCTTGCAGAATGGTAGACTGTGTACCGGATTGGAAGGCACTCATTTTTAAGCCAGCGGAGAAGAAACTTTATGTAGCACTCATTTCATCACATCAGGTTGTTGAGGTGGGTGTGATACCCTTAGAGTGAAGATTGTCCCTTCAGAAACACTGTCAGTGGTCCTGGTAACGGGCTGCCCTCCACGGGGCCCGGGAACCGCCAGGTGAGGCCACGAGAGATTGTACACTGGGTGTAGAAGAACTTAATTTTAAATTAATTACTGTCACTTTGAAAAGAAAAAAAGAAAAAAAGACACATCCACCATCTGATTGGCTGGTGCTAAAAACTGTGGGTTAAATTTGAAAATTGTGTTTAAAATAAGAAAATGTTATCTTTTAAATCCTATTCTCCCTTCTGCATTTTCAACAACATGGAATTAAGGCTAATGTGCTTGCTTTATTTTCTTTGACTTTTATAGCTTTTAAACTAGAAACTATCATTCTGACAAGGCAGGCAACTTAGCGTATAAACACAACTTTATTAAACAGTACCCTGTAGATGCTGTTCCCAGTGTGTCTGGCAGTCTTCGTCCTTGTTCACGTCCTGGGGACGAGGGGAGCTAGGCTAGCAGTTCTAACGTGACGTTCTTTAAGCATATCTTAAAGTAGTATTTAAGTAAATGGTCTAATTTCTACATAATTATTGCACTGAACTGTCTTTTTTTTTAAGGTGTTTAAATAAGCTCAGCTAATTCAAGACCACTTGTGCATCAGAGTGCTTGAATTCAGTAGCTTAAGCATTATTTATGAAGGAAAAATACATAAATATGAAGTACCTCATGTTGAATGTTATTGTACTGTATTTTTAATGTAACAGTGCAGATCTTGTTAGACACATGAATGTGTATAATCATGTTAAATGCAAATAAAATAAAACTGGTTCATAGATTGTTTTCCTTAGCATTTTTGTGGGTCCCTTGAAAGAGTAAAGAACTCATTCTGGCACTTTGGGTGGCACTTACATTTTGCAGAGATGGTTTTTGCAGGAACATTTGTTTGCTAAGTATTCACATATCCTTGATCCCTAAAGAGGTAAAAATTTGAGTCAAAAGCATAATAAAACAATAAATATGTTAATCAGTTGCATTGTTGAATGCCTGGAGAGGGAGTGAATGGACATGTTTCTGTTCCCATCAGGGAAATTGTGCTTGGCTGGCGTTCTGATGGTATAGTTGCTCAGAGGTCTGGATCTCCCTGTCCTGGGGTGTGGACAGCAGATCACATCTACCTTTAGGTGTGACCAGTGCTGCTTGCTCCTGCAGTCTTACATAATAGCTTGCATTTGGAAATAAAGAAGATACATGTCCCATGACAATTTTGAATATAAGTTTTGAATATATATGCTCAACCAGTTTTCCATTATATTTCCCCATGGCAAGTACATATATACACACAGATTTGTTTATAACTATATACACACATACATATTTTTTTTTTCTCAGCAACTATCTATACTAGAGTTTGTTATGAAACCCTGTATATTTGCTGAACTACTTCACCTACTCACAGTTAAGTTTCTATAGCATACCTGCTCAAAGGAGGTTTGGAATTATTCCAGAGAGTAAGGGAACTGGAAATACCCATTCTCATTAGCTTAATTACAGATACAACCTGAATTGCAAAAATCTTTAATCCAGGAAAGTCTTAGCCATTATCTCGTCTCTGATGCTCTTTAAACGTAATCCACATGGGTTTGTTTTCAGTATCCCAACACAATTGGAAATGATCCTCCTCCTTTGTCAGCACTTAGGATCAACATGTCACTGAAGTTACACTTTCTTCCCAGTTGACTCTGGCTTGCCTGCAGAAGCCATGGACTTGAACTTGGGAAAGAACAGGAAGAAGGAAAGCATTCCTGCGGAACTGAACAGCATGAAACTTAGAGGCCAAAACAAGCAAGTGGCCCAGAAAACCTGTGGTACCTTAATTGCCTGTTAGGCTGTGCGTGCCTTTAAGATGCTGCGTAGAAGATGACTACACTTTTTTTTCTAATTGATTAGAGTTCAACATTTTTTTCTCAGCCATTTACATTTATTGTCCAGCTATTTCCTTTGCTCGACACTTCATGTTATCTTCCACTTTTTGGAATATATCATTGAACAAAACTGAAACGGGGGGAAATTTTCAATAATAGAATCTCCTCATTTATTTCCATAACCAGCATAATCACTGGGGAGAAAAGTTTCTCAACCACGATGTGGTCAGGTAGGAGAGATGAAAGTATTTGTGAGGAAAACGATGGCTGACCTCGTCAGGCACCAAGCAGTGTAAGACCCCAGCACCTGCCAATGGGTCCCTGAAGAATCTTTGGATACATTTCCCTAACTTGGACATCTCCCCTCTTTGCCTCTTCTGAGCCTTTTGAGGGGGAAAAAGGCAGTGGGGAAGTTTTAATTCCTATTTATGCAGATCCCAAATGTCCTTAACATGGTCATTTTCTATTTGCCTGTTTACCTATATGTCTGCTGGGCAGCAGTTTTGCCAGCAGTGCTTCTGTTTCACGCTCAGCCATCCAAAAAGTCCCTCTCCTCCAGATACACAGACACAACACCCACCCTTTACTTTGTCAGGTCTGTTCTTTAAGTCTGTGCTCAGGACGTAATTAAAGTTACCTTAACATTGGACTACTAACACTTAACCGTCAGTTTGCTCCCACTAATTCTTTAAGCTGTTCTCGGTGGTAACCAGGCTAAGTGTCATGGAGAGGGGCGGCACGTTAGACTTCAAGGACGGTGCCCTTTTCCACTTCACGCAACAGCGGTACAGAAAGTTATTTCAAAATTAAGTCATTTTTGTTCGTTTTGATGACTTTGGTGAACAGTTTATATTCAATGGACTATCTCTTACATCTGTTTGTTTTAGAGGAATGAAATTGTACCTGAAAAAATTAAAAAATAAATCATCCTAGTGGCCTTGTTAATTTTAACACGAAGCGTCACAGTGAATCTTTATGAGCAGCACACAGCGTAAGGACTTTTGTTTTGTGAGAAATCAGAAAAGCCTCCAAGATAATATTTTGATACATAGCAGTCTTTACTGTGGCTGTGCAATTGGCATTTTCCTTCTTAAACTACTATATCAAAAAACAGTCAAAAGGAAGATAATGACTATTTAAGGAAGCTGCAAATAATCTTTCAAAGCTTGAAATGGAGGGTACCACCTTCTGCTATATAGTAGAATACACAAAAACTTTTGAGAGACAGTCTATGCGTCTTATGGAATTTTCACTTCTGCGCTTGCTTTCACCCACTCTAAACTCAGTATTTCAGCACCTCTTACAAATAGTGCTAAAACAAACACTCAGAACACCCGAGCCTTAACCAATTCAAAATTAAAGAAAAATTTCAATCCTAAGAATATTTGAGGCATTAGTTGACTGAAGAATATTGAGTATTTCCTGGGTAATTCAGCTCCCCAGGAAACAAACATTTAATGTGTCACTCCAGGATTAACTTGACATTCATTCATTGATCATCTGTGGAGCTTTTGCTTCATCCCCGGCAGTAAGAGGTGCTAGGAGACATGTGAGCGCTTTCAGAAGCTTCTGGTCCAGGGCAGTGCTGCTCTGCTGTCAGGGGGCCATCACGGGTTGCTGGCTTCCACCCCAAGGAATTCTGATTTGGTGGGTCTTGGGTGGGGCCTGAGAAAGTGCACATCCAAGGGGCTTCCCTGTGATGCTGACGCTGCCTGCCCATCTCACTTTGGCGCTGGTCTGAGTGAGTGGTGTGTCAGGCAGGGGCCTGTGCAGGAATGAAGCAGCAGTGCAGAGCAGCAGACAAACGCTGTGGCTACCACAGGAGCAGTGGAAAAGGCGTCTAGGTTGGCCTTAGGTGGAAAAAAAAGTGATGCTTGAGCTGGATTTTGAAGGACGCATTAGAATTGTCCAGTGTAGATGGTTGATGCAAGTCAGAGGGAGGGGATAGGGATGAAGGGAATTCCAGAAGAGAAACAGCAGGGGGATAGAATGGGGAACAGCTCAGTAAGGCTTAAGGAAAGGGTACCTGTGGAAGAATGAGACCTACTGTGTGTCAGCCATGGAGCAGGAGAATGAACTGGGCAGAAACGTGGAGCACTCCATGTGTTACGCTGAATTATCTGGCTTTCATCCACAGAATAAAGCAGTGACATTGAAGAGATTTGAGATAGACGAGACAACAGTTTCGCATTTTAAAAACATTTCTCGGACCTCAGGGAAGGATAGACTGGATCAGACTGGAGGCAGGAGGGGTCAGGACTGTGAATAATACCAGCAAAGATCAAAGGGGACCAGGGGATGGAGAGAGGGATGAAGATTCTAGAAACAGAGGAGAGAGAACCAGGACACAGTAGCTGTAACGTCAGTTAAAAGGGGGCTTGTGACATTGGAATGAAGCCTCTTATTTACTCTTATGTAAAGGGAAAGAAACAGTTTTTACCACCGTCCGTAGATGGGTCATAAGTACCCAACCCTTGATTCTAAGATTCTTTTAGGAACAAGTTAAAACATGAGAGTCCACTTAGTGTACTGGTTCCTAACTGGAGCAAGACTGTCTGGATTTGAAGCTGGGCTCTAGCTGCATGTGACTTCAGGCAAGTTACTTAACCTCCTGAGCCTCAGTTCCAGACAGGAGTAGTAATAGTGCTTCCTCACAGGGTTATTATGATGATTAAACAAGTTAATATTTCTAAAGCACTTGTGACAGTACCTGGCAGACAGGGTGTGTCATGTAAGTGTTGTTAAGGGAAACAGAATAGAAAAGGCCTCAAACTAAACCCACACATTTCCCCCATAGGCATTTCCCTTTAAGAAAACCAGTTTACTTTTTGTTCGCACACACTTGTAACAAGTCGTCAATGCAAGCAATTAAAAAGAGTCATTTTGTTGCTGTTTTAAATAAACTATAGTGATAGGTAGAGAGTATATAAAGTTACAAGGAGCTGTATTGTTGAGGAATTCTGGTATCTTAAACTGAGTTTCTAGTGAGTATTTAAATGGTGTCATGTTAATGACGTGGGTGAGTTCTAGCATATCAGATGCCGTCTATGCTAGGAAATTATCCAGGATTCCTCAGAGAATTACTCTGTAAAAGCTGACCATGAGAATGTAATGAGTTTTCTGGAAGACATTTTCCAGGAGGAGTCTGTTTTGCAGGTAAAAGAAAATCCCCTTTAACTAGTTCTGCTAGAGTCAAAATGAGCTCTTTTGTCTTGGCTTACAGCCTTAGACAATTTTGGGTATAACTCGGTCTCCAAATATTTGGGGAT